CAGACGTCGGATGACAGGACGGCAGACGTCGGATGACAGGACGACAGACGTCGGATAAAAAGCCAACGGACGTCAAGCAAAATGTGATGCCGTCAAATCCGAGGCCTGAATATGAGCGGTTAAACTTGAGTATAGATAGTTATAAAATACTTTGAAATATGCGAACATGCGTGAATGTCATACGTGAAAAGGTTGCTGTGTGGCTGAAAATGGAAAGAATCGTCAAAACAAGGCACATGATCAAACTGTGTCGTGCTGTTTCCATTAAATATCTATTTATAGGCATATTAATCCAGTTCAATAACAAAGTCCAATAACAAGGCTAAATATAGTCCAATATATTCACTTATACTAAGGTTTCTGATGATAAGGAGGCAAGCAAAACCGTGACCGGCAAGACCGACTTCCGCAGCACAAATCAAGACAAATGCGCGACCGGTAGAAATAAGCTACGCCGCTGTATGTGGTCACGTCCGATAAATATGGGTTGCATAGTTTTAGACAGTTTAAAAATAAGAGTTTGCTTCATATATTGCATGTGAACTCTTACAGCATAAAGTAAGAGTGACAGCCTATTGTCGCCATTTGTACAACTTGCGGATAACCAAACGCTTTTCGGTTAATGTGTGAAACAATGATGACTAAATAGTATTAGAAATTTGTTCATCTCAGCAGAATTTCAACTCCTCGAAATCTCGAGTTGCATCTCCGTCAGCCTCTCGAGTGCAGAAAGCATGAAAATATCAAGTAAGATAATTTTAATTTGATCAGATAAGCATTGTCAGAAAGTTTTCTTAATGTCCTTCCACGATGCACTTCTTAATTTCCCCTCGCCATTCGGAAAAATGATTAACTCAAAAGTTTGTATTGGGCATTTGAACTTCAGCGCGAAAATTTAGGAAAATTTTATTTCGCTTCTTTACCCAGCATGTTCGTTAGCCTATAATTCGATGAATAAAGGTGATGTAATGTGAATCATGTAAATTCAGAAGCATGAATAACACATACGTCTGTGGCTTAAACAAAGCGAGTGAAATCACATGCATTATATTTATATTAGAAGCAAAGGTACAAGTAAAACAACCAAACATTGAGCAGTGAACTTGAGCGCTTCTAATTCAGCTATCCGTTTTATTTCAATGCCCGAATGCCCAAAGTTAAGGTGAAAAATAATTTTTCATAATATTTATCAAAGTAGTCGCACGCCGAATATGATTGAGACTGCACATTCAGTCATTGTTTTAGTTTTTTAGTTGCAATTCACCACACGGAGATTTGTGAGCCTAAATTATTAAACAACTCTAAACTTTTGTCCCTAGAAGCGGGCTACGTGAACAAAGCTGTCGATGTAAGCGATGTTGAGTCGAGTTCGTTGGACGGCAGCTCCTCGCAGCTCTCAGTGACCGGCGCCAGTCTTACTAATAAGAACTCCGGTCCTGGAGATGCCGAGTCTGTCAATTACCGCCTGTACAAATCCCGTTACTATGTGCTCATCGTTTACTCCATGGTGGTCTTCTATCAGGTATGCCTCATAATGTTTTTACAAAAAGTCTTGCTAATACGCATTATTTTGAACAGTCACATACCAAAATTATACATCAGAACAGAACTCATGGTTGAACTAGTACAGGGTGCGCCACAGAAACTTACTTATTTGAAAGGTCAATAAAAACAAAAGTACTTCAGTTATTGTTTTATTTTTTTATTCGAGAAAACAGTATCCCAATTTTTTTTTCATTTTCATACAGTTTTGAAAGTTAAATCTCATAAATGACGGCCTCCATTGCGCATAAACTAATAAAGTCGCTTTTTTCATAATGGTTTCCACTCTATGCAGCATATCAATCGGTATTTTGGCAATGACGTCGCGAATGTTGTTCTTGAGGTGTGCTATGGTCCGTGGTCGATCGACATAAACCAGAAATTTCGAATATCCCCATAAAAAGAAATCGCATGGAGTCAAACCTGGAGAGCGTGGCGGCCATTGGAGATCGCCTCTGAGAGAGATGAGGCGGTCGGGGAAATGTTGTCGCAACAAATTCATCGAGTCTCGTGCTGTGTGTGCTGTGGCTCCATCTTGCTGAAACCACACGTCTCTCGCTCCTCTACCCGATCAACTAACCGCACAGGAATTTTTTAAAATAAGTAAGTTTCTGTGGCACACCCGTATAAGGTTGACCCATGAGAAGCGCATTTTCGCGGATGTAGCTTGTTGTTAGCCTGTGACGTCACTGATCTCAGTGACGTCACGGACATTAACCAATCACTGAAATGCGATCAAACCAGGCAACCAATCCGTCATGGGAATGATGGGTTTCTTTACGTTTCTCTATCTCAGTGACGTAGCAAGAAAGCTGAACCTATAGACGGAACTTCTCGTGGGTAAACCTTATATAGTTCAACCATGACAGCACTATCCTATAATCTAAACGTTAGGTTAGTTGGAAGATGAGGCTGTAAGATGTAAGTGAATAGAACCAAATTCTTCTTCTTTGGGCTTTTAATATGTTTGTTTGAAAGAGTTCGATCATATTGAAGATAATAATTATTAGCTTCGTGCTTCTGGTATCTTGCTGAAAAAATTAAGAATTTTTTTTTTAAGATTTAGGAATTAATTATATTTTATATCATAAGGGCTTTTAAGTTACCAACATGTACTACAAGCTCAAGGGTTTCACACATACCAATACTGATCTAATGGTTATGATGTTCGTCAGTACGAAGATTTAGTTACACAAAACAAGGCTAATATTTCCGCAAAATGTTGAAAATTTCCATACTTTGTTAAACTCGAAGATTATTTAATTTAATGAAAGAAGAGGAAAATGTTTTGTTTTAAGCCAGCCTTATACCTCACATCATTTCAGTTGCAAGTTATCACAGCGCTGTAGAGAAGATAATATAGAATCAATGCGGCAACCTCCGTTTAAAATATGAGAAACTCGCTGATTTGGGTTCGGTTCAAGGCGTTAATCAGTGTCCATTATAATTAGCGTTTGCGATACATTTTTTTATTGGAGTATATGACTAATTTATCTCTTAATGTATCGCAACAAATTTCCAGTTAGCATACTGTCATTAAATTGGAATCAAACCCACGCACTGGTTTCACATGGCATTCATTTAGTGAAGGCATGAGAAATTGTTCTGTGATTTTTCATTACGGATTCTGCAAAAATAAAATTAAACAATAGAGACATTTTTCATCTACTCGTTTGCTTCTCAAAACCATTTTTGAAATAGTGCACGATTTGGAACACATGGGGGCCCATTAGCGCCACGGCTTTGGCGATCTTTCCTGGCTGGACTCCAGCCACCATCGCAACCCTGGCCAATTGGGGACCCATCACATTTGTGATCTTTGTCATCCCGACCTCGTGGGCTGTCAGCAGGTGCTTCTCAACATAATTATTTTTAAAGAATGCTCAGTATGCATTTATTGTTCCTAATCAATTTATACTTCGTATCCTCCCTATTCGTATCGTTATTCAAAATAACAACATTCCAATCAATTTGTTCTTATGGTCATCATTTAAACATCGTCCTCTCAGGAGTGTCCAGCTGGTGATAGATTTTTGTTATTTCATGTATCACGATTAAAAGTCTAGTCCACATTGCACAGCCGGCAGTAGAAGACACACGTTATTATCGCGATATACATGTACTATGAAAATACCACGTTAGTTTTCCTTGTCATCTTGCAGCAAAATTTTTCTTTTAAATTTGTTTATAATAGTTTGGAGACTGTTTTGGTTACACTGTAACGAGGAAAGATTGTATTAATGATGAATATTTGTGACTGTTAGAAAGAATGGTAATAGTGTTAAACATTTTTAAATGTTCCTCCAGATTTGGTTTTCGGTTCGTGACGGTATTTTATTCTGGGTGCGCCGCTTTCTCTCACGTCCTGCGATGCACAACAGTCAACGAGAAACTTTTTACGGTGTCAGTGCATTTCTTACTCTCACTCTAAATGAAAGCTTACACAAGAATTTTAATTTCATCTCCGATACTTTGAAAGTAGTACTGTATCTCTTGAAGTCTGGTATTCATTTTAGTAGAAGTATTTCGGTAATGGATTTTAAAACCAATATTGCCACAGGAAACGATTTCGGAAAATCTATAGGCCTAACAACCGCAATGAAATTTTTAATGAAATAAATGTTCTTACTCATGTCAGAACTAGATTTTGCATGGCATCTGATCGGAGACCATTAACAATATTTTTCGCACCGAGAAAATTTCATCAAAAATTTATGGTTGAAGTGCAGGTTTGCGCACATTTGTGCCATCTTTAATGGTATCTTGGGAACGCTCCTGCTGGCCGGGGCAGCCGTTCCGGCCTTATGGTTCCCTGCCCATCAGCGCGTCACGGCCACAGGTATCACCTCTAATTAGAAGTAAAAATACTACTTATATTAATTAATTAGGTTATAAGAGTTAGGCAGTAAAATGAACCCAAATTATAAGAGCTAAAAATTTGGTGTAGCATTCAGTTCTTTGCACAATTTAACATGCCAAAAATTTTTATTTAATATGATCAATTTGTACATAAAAAATTCAATTGGAAAATATTTCAAACCATTCTTTTGAGACCTCTTTATCCACGAGTCTGAGAATTTCTACCATATCCCAATTTAAATGCAATATATCACTCATATGATGCAAGTGGCTTCCGCTGTGTGAAGATGGTGAAGATGCGAGATAAAGTTTCAAAACTTACATGAACTTTCAATCGAAAATTTATCTAGCAGTAGAATAATCACATTCAACAATTTTCTTCATTTCCAAGTGATTAGTTTTTATAAATATTATGTTTTATTTCCTGCAGCATTTTCGCTGGTCATGAATATGATGGGATCAGGAGCCAGCTTCATGGAGCCGCTCATTGTCCAGGCACCAGGGAACGAGACCACCGTCGATGAGATGACTAAAGACCTAAGAACCCTCATGATAGTAGGTGAGGATTTGAATAGTTTTTTATCATTGCTGAAATGATCTTCACTTCAATTCACGAAAGTATTTATAATTTACTTCACAAAATCAAAAATTTTGTTTGATCAAACACTAGTTCAAACGCAGGTTCGAATAATCTCTGCTCGATTTACGCAGCTTAAGTGGTCCACGAAAATTTGATTGGTCCAGTTCGTTGAACACAATGAAATACTTCCGATGATTTGACAACGATTTGAAAGTTTCTAATGCATGCATGATCGACTTATGTTCGTTTCCGGTGTAGATGGTTCTCATCGTAACCAGGAAGTTAGAGTGGAATGTCGATGTGATCGAATAGTTGAACTCTATACTCAACAGAAAAGTTCGTGTGACTCTATGTTCCAGAGATCCACTGATTTATGAATGAAGACTAATTCAGTTACCAAAACGGCCTTAATTTGACCAGAGATGATAGTAGCGATGTGCCTCTTCTTGCTGGTACTCATCTACTTCCCATCTGCTCCCCCAACTCCGCCATCCCCTTCTTCTGCTGAGGACAGACTTAGCTTCTCTGAGGGTTTCAAGCAAATTGCCAGGTAAGGAAGATTTACTGAAGATTTCGTGACTTATAACAACATTCACATTTCTTACGTTATCTCATGTGGAAAGACATGTGATAACAGTCGATAGTATCATGTGATAACAAACATACGACGCTTAATTTTACTGAGTCCCTTATAGAATGGCGCGCTGAAAAGTGCTGTACAGAAAATGTCTCGCACAATTTGATATATTGATATATATAATATATATTTGATATATATATCATAAAATGTGTGAACAATCATAACTGTGCACTCACCAGGATAATATCATTTCAAAAAAGGCCAAAATTTTTTTCTTACTCTTCTTCTCATTTCATACTTATTGTCGAGTCATTGACCATCCTCTGAAATAGTTCTAAAATTATACAAAAGTTTTTATAATGAAAACTAATTCTCATTTTACAGGAATGCTCGATTATGGCAGTTGGTTTTCTCGTACGCGATTTTTACCGGCGTGTCCATGATCTGGCTCGGGGTCATCAACTTTTCTCTGCAGGACTTGGGATTCGACCAGGTCTAAAGCAGGGCAGTTTAGCTAACGGTATTAAATCACTATTCATTAGGTTGATTTTCTATTTAATTATCTGTCGATCAGTCTGCATTAGCAGACTAGTTTGATTTTCTATTTAATTATCTTGCATTGGCAGACTGATCGACTAACAAATTTCTATCTCCCTGAAACAAAATGCAAGAAAAACATCTTTTGGCATAATTTCACTCATGAACTGAAAAAACCGCTAATTAAATGAAATTCCCCTATAAGCAGGAATTAGTCATAAAAAATATAACTCAGTACTCACTGCAGTGAGTGACAGAGAGCGCATTTTCTCGTCGACGAAAACTTGAGGTCACGGACAGACGGACGGACAGACAGACAGACGGACGGACGGACATGGCGAACACAATAGTGCATTTTTTCCATAAATGAGAAAATGCGCTAAAAAGTAAAGAAGCTTTCTAAAGTAATAAAAATTTAATGATGCAAAAATTATCTGAAATAAGACTTGACAGCTTCATAGAAAGTGAAGAAATACCAACTTAATTCCAATGTAATGTACTCAGGACGAGGCTGGCTGGATCGGAGTTTACTGCAGTGTCTGCACGGGCGTAGTTTGCCTTGTGACGTCACGTGTCGTGGATCTTGTCTACGGTCACCTCAAACTGGCGCTCATCGGGATGATGGTGTGCAGCTCCTGTTTCTACATTTGGTTTATGTTGTTATCCCTCGACGTCTGGCCTTCTACTAAAGGTATGCTAGCGAGGCTATCACTTTCGAATTGCTGAGAAACAAATAAATGATTTTACATCAGTTTTACGTCAAGCTTCTTAAGAACCCAATCGACTGCTTTCCACGTCATTTTATTATTGACTTTGCGCTAACGCTATTGTTAATCATGTAGCGTACTCTTGCAACGGATAATTTGCACGTTTGGTTGATAGTGCACAGCGAAGAAGTTTATGTATCAAGAATATAAGCTATCACAAGGTATTACATCATTAACGACATTACTTTGATTTTATGCCACGATCAACCCCACAGCCCAGGTCTACATCACCGTCCTGGGAGGCCAGTCCTTCAACGTGGCCGGCGCACCGATTTTTTTCGAGCTGGCAGTCGAATCAGTCTACCCCAGCCCAGAAAACAACGTTGGCGCAATTTTGACTCTTTCTAACAACTTTGTATCGGCACTCTTCTTGTTCCTTTTCTACATTCCCTCAATATGTACGTAGTATTTTTTGGCCAAATTTCCGAAATTAGAACTACGAGATACTTTCTCCGAGGATGATCAGAAAGAATTAATAGTATTTATTCAATAACGCAGTGGTTCACAAGTCTTCAGTTCTTCTGCTTTCGATTGCATCTCACTGGCTTTTGACTCAATTTGATGGTCACAGTGCATTTGACTTGTCTGTTTTTGTTACTTGCATTGGCAAGCAGCATTTTTAAGGAAACCTAATCTGCTTGATCCATGGCATTAATGTCCAGTTAAAATGCTTAAAAACCTTTAGTTTATTTTAATTATATGAGACTTTCTTCATTGAACAGTCTAAACTACTGACCATTACTGATTTCACGTGAGAAACTTCTATGTTTAATATTTACAGCTCAAGACGAGAACAACACATGGATGACGTACGTCTTGGTAGCCAGTAACGTTGGTGCCCTCGTTCCAGTTCTGCTCTTCAGGGAGGAATACAAAAGATCCAAACTCGACAGAACGTCACTGAACTCAGCGTCCTAATCATTCGTATATTTTCAAACTATTGAAATTTGTTCTTATTGCGCGGGTAATTTACCATTCAAGGGTATATGGCACGCTATAAGGAGGAAGTAGAATTTTTCTCTTTTTTTACATCCATTCTGATTACTGAAATTTACTCCTATTGCGCGGGTAATTTACCATTCAAAGGAATATAGCATGCTAAGAAGGAAGTAAAAATTTTCTCTTTTCAAGAAGAAGTGCGACGGAGAACGATCATATTACAAGGCTTCTTTTTAAAGTATAAATCCAAATACATACTTAGATTGTTGGCTTATTTTTTATTTTGAAAATCTGATAACGTCCATTGCCGCGTTAATTCAGGCTCGCTTGATCAAATCCCTTCGAGTCAATGCCCGTTTGAAGAAGCGTGCCCTTTAAAAACTCTTCGGTACTTGAATCTACAAGATGTCAAATATTTGCAGTAACGAAAACTTTTAAGTTCGACAAGTGATCGAAAATTTCAACTTAATTTTCGATTCTGCGAACTAGATTCAATTTATGTTACACAACGCGAATAGGATTACGTCTAAATGTCCTACAAATTGGTTACATATGTATAGAATCTGTAGATGTTGGTTTAAAAAACCGCTGCTACACTGGTGAGCGGCGATTAAGAATGACTACTGTTTCCACTCTTTTACAAAACAATTTTCTCATTTTCTAATCACAGGTCGTTTATGTCAGTCGTACAATACAACGGAACTGCAACGGATCGGCGTTTCTGGTAAATAGCAAAGTTTGATTGATGATAACTGATAGGTTCTCAATTTTGATTGTGTTCGGACTTTTTTCACGTACAAGTGATTTTGTCAACATAGGATGGGAACTTGAATTTCCCAATTTAATATGGAATGTACCAGTGTTTCATTGCAACCCTCTCTTTGTACAATATTTTTGCCGTAACTTTTTTCATACGAGAACTTACAACGCGCCTCTACTGACCACTACGAACGCAACCTTACTAAATTAAATCAATTATCAATGAATAATAAGATGAACAACAACCAACAAAAATTCAACTATAATCAAACCACCCTAAAATTTTGATAGGGTTATGTTAAGGCGAAAGGTTCACACTCAAGATAAACACACACTCTCTTACATTGCATGCATCGTCCAATTATGTATAAGCAAACATTCTCCTGCACTGCATGCATCCTTTAATTATGTATGACGGTACTTAACGATTCCAGCATAATGTTTATTAAATCTCTTTACCTTGCCAGATAATTAATTTAAATCCAACTTCATTGTCACGTCCAGAAGAGGCAGATATTGCCGGGTACATTTGGCCTTCACTGATTGCATGTGTAACACAAGCTTATTGGAACAAACTTTGCCCGTGATGCATTAGTCGGATAAAAAAATGCTAAGCATCGTATTTATGTCATGGCCTAATGAGAACAAAAAAAAAATTCTTACGGTTGCATGGCGATCCTTTAGCAGAGCACTACAAAGACCCTTTGAAAATTTGTTGAAACTAACTGCGTGTCGTGAAATTTTTGTGGTAGCGCTCACGTGTATATCGTATTCCGTACTACATCATCTACATGTAGTTTATTCTGGTGAGTGACTTCGCTCTAGAACTAAGAATTAGAAGAGAATTGGCTTGGTTCTATTAGAATTGGCTTGGTTCTTGTACGTTCAAGACCTAGAACTTTTGTTCTCCTTGTAAGTATTCTGTAATTAGTGTCTATTTATCTAGACATTCACATATGAATATATTCCCTTCACGTTGTCGTGTCACTGTTTATTTAGTAGTGTAATTTTATTTCAGGATGTTGCGTTCATGTTGAATGAAGCTCTGAATGAGTCACCTCGGCTTTCGCTTAAAACACTGAGGCCAAAATTAAGAACGTATAATATTCGTCTGAAAAAAATTACATGTGGAAAGTTATTGGACGATAATATTCAAACTCTGCTTTTTTTCGGATAATTAATGCATATTATCATGAAAAAGATTGAGTTTTAAAATAATAAATGACGAACAATTTGCAAAATTGCAGAGAATTCTGCAGGAAAAATTATTCCCATACAATCGACAGACTCTGTTGCTATGTTTATTCCTTCAACCTAATTGAAATAATTTTAGAACCGCATTGTTTTTCAGATGACGACCAGCCATTTGACTTTATGAAGCCAGAATCACATGCGTACGACAGAATTTCTGAATCAATAGATGTTAACAGCCACTGGCACTATATCAGACAACAAATGTTAGCAGCCACTGGCACTAGCAGTCTAGCAGCCAACAGATGTTAGCAGCCACTGGCACTATTAGCCAACAGATGTTAGCAGCCACTGGCACTAGCAGTCTAGCAGCCAACAGATGTTAGCAGCCACTGGCACTANCAGCCACTGGCATTAGCAGCCAACAGATGTTAGCAGCCAACAGATGTTAACAGCCACTGGCACTAGCAGCCAACAGATGTTAGCAGCTATTTTTCTCAGCAGAGAAGCTCTCAACCTTCAAGCACAAGAAAATTTCTTACCGATTCACATCATGGGCTCCTGTCAGGGAGTCTGTCGCGCAGCAATCTATGTTTAGATTTCATTCAAGCTGCTTGAAAAACGTGCCACTAAAATTTTCCTCCAAGATGCATCATTATTCTCAATATAATGAACAAATTTGTCCACAATTCATTTATAAATAAAACTACCTAATCGGATTACAGGGTCCGCCATATTTATGGCAACGCATATTTTTTTTAATTTCTCAATGAAACAAACAGGTGCATTGTTTTTTATTGGATGAGCTAGTAGCCAAGAATTACCTAAACAATTCTCAGACATATTTATTCAATATGACCACCCTTATTTTTAATGACGGCCTCCAATCTACGTGGGAAAGCTTCACAGGAGACACGCAGCATTTCTTGAGGGATCAAGTCCCATTCTCGTGCCAATTTAGAATTCAAATTTTCCAAAGAATCGTGAGGTGTTCTGCAGAGCCTACTCTCTAAAATAGCCCACACAGGAAAGTCGAGAGGCTTCAAATCAGGGCTTCTTGAGGGCCATTAATTTTTGCTAATGAATGCTGGGATGTGACCCTGAATCCAGTTTGGGTCATGTTTGAGCCATGTGATGGGTCAGAGTCCTGTTGAAAACTCCATGGTGAGTCTCGAAGTGTTTACGGCCCCAAGGTAACAACTCAGCTTCCAAAATGTCCGAAACGTATCGCAGACTGTTCAATTTCACTCCTGAGGGGACAAAAACGAGCAGGGACCTCCCAGTGGTGGTCACCGCGGCCCAAACCATCACGGACATGGGATTTTGACGTCGTGTTGCTGTTCTGTTTGCCACAGATCCATCCCGAATCCAAACTCTGTCATTTTTCGGTTAACGCTTTGTTCAATGACATATTTTTTCTCGTCACTGAACACCAAGTTGGGCAGCGTACCATCCTCAATAAGAATCAGAATGTGCTGGCATCTTTCGAACCTCATTCGTTCATGACGGTCTGTTAGTTCATGCCTTGTTTGCATCTTGTAAGGGGAGGTTTTGAGGTCTTCGTTGAGGACTCTACGCATTGATGTCTGACTGACTCCTGCTTCTGCAGCCAATTTTGCAGCTGAGCGACGAGGGTTTCTCCTCAACTTCTCCCTCGCGTTTTTGACCAATTGTTTTATTCGGACACTTCGTTTCCTTCCTTGACCAGGTCGATTGCATGTTTTACCAGTTTCATTGAATTTTTTTACCACCTTCCACACAGTTTCACGACAAATTTGGATTTTTTTTTGCAATGACTGAATTACTCTCGCCCTTTTCATGAAGAGTTACAATTGCATTTCTATCTACTGCCATAAGTAATAGTAAATTTAGACACCTTAGACTTCTGCAATATAAAATAGATGAATTAATAAATGATATTGAGCTTCATTATAAAAGAAAAGTCTTCTATAGAAACCAATTTATTTTATATAGCAAACATCCGTTGCCATAAATATGGCGGACCCTGTATAAGAAAATTCCCGATTGAGAATTTAGTCATGAATTTCATAAAACAATTTCCACAAAATTTTTCGACAGCATCGTCACCTGCAAATAATTAGAATGAAGGCTATATTTTGCGCTTAGAGCTCTTGGTGCATAGTCAAGAAATTACTTATTTTCATGACAATAACAAAAATTCAAATTGGTTTAAAACACATTGTTGCATTACCAAAAATTCCATAAGATTTATGTTTGAGAGCTTCACACAATTCAGAAACGAATGAAAAGATTGAGAGCGAGGCAGGATGTAGATTTATTGAAATATTAATTTTCAGACATTGAACATTCAAAACTGCACAACGATTGAAAAATCAACTGTTTCTACTTCGATTTCAATTTTCTATTCTGTTGAAATCTTTGTTGAAGTTTCAGGGATTCGCTGATGCTCGCCGAGCTAAAAATTCATTCCTCATCCACCGAATTTTATGGGAGTTCATTTTTTCGATTGGCTGCGCCAACTCTATGGTTTGAGCGCGCGGGAATTTTGTTTATGGTGCGTAGCAAAATTCACGACGCGATGAAGAAATGGTTGGGCGTAATGGCGGTGCATGCAGTATCATGTTCCATCATTTCATTGTGTTATATAAAGGCATGGGTTCATTTCTACAAAAGACGCAGACAGAGATCAAGCCCTTTAATCAAGACGAAAGATAAGCAAAAAAACAGGCAAATTTTTTTGCACATTTAACGACTCAATATTCATTAGAAAGTTGAGCAGACTACATTTAGTCACATTTAGGCTGCGTATTATTGAATATTTTTAACCGGAGCAGAAATAACTTCCCAAGTGCTTAAGAGCTTCTTGTTTTCCAAAATTCTATCTAGTAGATCTATTGGAAATCAGAGATGTTTTGGACCCAAAGAAGTCCCATATCTTGGCTGAGAGGCTGTAAGATCTGCCGTAAGTCTTTTGGCAGAGAGCAAGCTGCCCTAGTGAGAGTCGATGTAAGTCTTAGGCTGAGCCGCCTCAGCCTGAATAAGGAGGCCTACAAGAGATCTGGTGTGTTGTGACGCTCATCGTCTTAGCGCCTACAGACGTGCCCGTTCCTCGTCATTAGAAGAACATTGCATGAGTCGGACAGCATATAAATGTAGAA